AAGATCAGAGTCCAACTCCTGCTTTGCCCCAAAAATCACAGCCCAAAATCTGGACAAACATTATTATCTTCACACAGAATCTTTCTTTAGCAGCTCCTCTACATGTCAGTTATTCCAGGCTGTCATCCCTTCCATCTGTTGTTTTATGTCCCCTTCAATGGGCCCTAATTGTTTCATATACTTTCCACAAATTTAGTATTCTACCACAACTTCCAAATTGCACTAATTGAGACACAACTTTTGTTTTTAACACACAAAGCAAGATAATAAATGAAAGAAAGAGTCTGTCGACAGACCTGGAATGGCCCAGACACTTAGTAACTCACATTTCCTGGTAATGAGAAATCCCAAGACCAAGAATAGATTCCTGCAAAGGTTTCGTTTGGGATGAACAGAACTTGAATTTCATCATATCCTCTAAAGAATGAAGTCTGTATTTCATAGAACTATATAATGAATCCTAAAATGGTTTGAATTGGAAGGGACCTTAAAGCCCACCTTGTTCCACCCCTGCCATGGGCAGGGACATCTTCCCCTATCCCAGGTTGCTCCAAGTCCTGTCCAATCTGGCCTTGGACACTTCCAGGGATGGGGCAGCCACAGTTGCTCTGGGCAACCTGTGCCAGGGCCTCACCACCCCCTGAGTAGGGAATTTCTCCCTGATATCCAGCCTAAATATTTCCTCTTTTAGTTTAAAACTATTCCTCTTTTTCCTATCACTATCTGGCCCTATAAAAATTATTTCGGACATCCATCCTTATATTCCAGGAATGTGGCCCTTCAGTATCCACCAAGGGACTGTCTGAGACTGCAGATAATTTTCCTGGTAACTTTTATTTGGCCATTCTACTTTTCCTTCCTATTACCTTACTCCACTTCCAGATGACCCAAAATGCAATAAAAGGCTGAACTTGACTTTATAATTACACTGTCAAACCCAGCAAACTGCTACAAGTTTTGTATGGACAGAGCAGCCTGAATGCAGAGGGAATTGGCAGGAAATCCTATTTCAGAGGGAATTGTTCCTTCCTCAAGTGGAGTGACAGACATATAGAAAGAAAAAAAAAAAAAGTGGAAAAATGCAAAATATGAAAATCATGTTTGGCAGATCCAGACCAAGGTCTAGGACGTGGCATTTCCAGCATTTTTGTTGTCTGCATTCTTCAGCAAAGACTCTCTCTGCAGGAACGTGCTGCACAGAACCAAAAAGTGTGGTTTTATGGCAATAAAAGTAAGAACACATGGGAAAAAAACCTGTTAAAAATGTGAGTGGAGAGGTACAAAACCCGCAGAGCAGGAACAGCATTTGGCTGCCATAACCAGCATCAGGCTAGACCCAAATTCCAACCAGACTACATATTTCTCTCCCTTCCTACCCAAAATACAACATGAGTTGGCCTTAACTGAACCGACTTGCTTTTCACACCAACACAAGTGACTTAGGGGAAAAAAAAAGAAAATAAAACCCCGAGGAAGCACATCCCGACAGATCCCAATCCATGGTGAATCCACCTACACACCCCTGCACTCAGACACAGATTCCTCAATATTGAAACTGGTTTTTTAAAGGGTGCAGCTGGCCACAAACGATTTCAGTTCCTCCCCACTGGTTTCATCCCTAACCTTCGCTCCAATGTCTGGAAGAAGATCCTTTACTTTGTTGTCTCCAACATGTTATCACCAAGTGAAAAAAATTTCCGGGCTGGAATTGTAGCTGCAAGGATGATTCAGAGCCCTGGATGTGTGCCTTGGAGATAATTCTATGCTGTAACTGAAAGTTAGTCTTGGAGTTAACCGGGATCTTTGTGCTGATTAAATAAATACCAAAGAGGCAGGATGGTGAGAGCGAGAAGGGCAAGGTCAGGGAATGGTGTGGAACAGATGGGGGATAGCTGGGAACACACTTCAACCTCAACCATTGCCATCTCCCTTCCCACATACAAGGCATTTCAAGGAATTACAGAATTGTTAACGTCGGAAAAGACCTTTAAGATCATCAACACAGCAACTCCACTAACCCATGTCCCTAAGTGCCACATCCACACATTTTTTGAACACTTCCAAGGATGGTGGCTCCACCGCTGCCCTGGGCAGCCTGGTCCAATGCTTTCCAGCCCTTTCCATGAAAAAATTTTCCCTAAATATCCAACCTAAATCTCCCCTCTGGCAACCTGAGGCCGTTTCCTCTCATCCTGTCACTTGTTACCTGGGAAAAGACCAACGCCCACCTGGCTGCATCCTCCTGGCAGGGAGTTAATTTTCTGTGACATCCTTCAGCCTTCCCACATGTGCTCTCCCAAACTTCTTGCCCACCTAATTTTCTCCAGCAACTCTCCAAGCTTTGCAAGCTGGAAAAGCTGGTCAGTTTGGGACTTGCCTCTGTCAATTGATACACACTCTGTAACATCAAAACCATCAATATTTACATATCCTTTGGGATTTTTCACAGTCCCAGGGCAGCAGTGCTCTCCATCTCCAGCAGTGCTATGAGTTTAGACAGCAACAACTTCCCATCCCGAGATGCAAACCAAAAAATAGGAAGCAGGAGATTCTACACCAAAACAAACCAGAGGTACAAATAACCTATGTTAAAACACACAAACCCAAACTTCCCTATGAAAATTATACTGAAATTGCTACATTTAGAAGAAGAAGAGAAAAAATAAAAGAGAACGCACTTAAAACCAGAGAGCCAGGAGAATTCAGACCTGCTTTAGCTGTTGAAGATTCCCAGATAAGCTGAAAAAACGCAGAGGGAAAGATTTCATGACATTAATTCCCTGAGTACTGGGAGTTGCTGTGAGGCTCTTCTGGCTAAGGAAAGCCAAAATACAATTCACACAAGCTCTTAACGATCTTGACACAACAATTACACATGCTAAGGATACATTATGGGCTGGCACCAGAACAGAGGATGCAGCGATTCCACCAGCAGGTTCACTAAATAAATGTCACTTAATCTCCACCACCTTTCCCGTCGCATGTGCTCAAGAGTCTAAATGCTCCTCACAAATAGTCTAAAAAGTCCAAAAGACCACTCAGGCTGTCAAAATAACTTCAGAAATACACGGGAAGGTGTCACAAGGCACAGGACAATTCACACCCCAGGGTGCTGAAAACACCAGGTACCAAAAAATTAAAGTACAAAAAATTAAAGTTCAAAACAAAGATAAACCCAGCTTGTTAAGTGGTTTGGGAAATGCAGCCTAGTCACTGCCCAAATATGCAGGAGCACTGCTTCTCCACAGCTTCTGCAAGGAAAACCAGATGGGAGCATCTGTATACAGTGACTTTTGGAACCATTTTCCAATTTAAATCTCAATTTCTAAGTCAAACAGACGTAGTAACTGAGTTCAGTTACTGTGGTGCTGAATTGGTGTCCTCCAACAAACTCAGTGAACGTGTACCAGAGGCTCAGGAGCTGAGATTCCTGTCCCAGTGGTAAAATATTACATTCCTACAGGTTTCATGGATATAGGCAGTTGTATAAAGGAGAGAAACCATACATTCCAGTCTGCTGTAGCACAGAAAAATTCACAGGAATTAGGGACACCATGGCCTGGCCACTGAAAAGCATCACTCAGACCTTTAATCTTATGAAACAGCAGAAAACAGAACACATGAAATGCATAAGAAACCAGGTTTCAGTGCTGATATAAGTGTATACCCCAAAGTTTATAAATAGAATGCTTTTTTTATTTTAAAAAAGGAACACACGTACATACTTGCATCTTCTTGCTCATACCCTGTTATTCTGGCCACAAAAAATGACCACTTTCTTTAAAAGGAAGCTGGACAATTTTGGGGTGAAGAGTAGCAGAGGGGAAACCACATTAATTGCATCAGTTTATGCACACTGGTAGGAATTCCTTCTCAAATTTGGCACTTAGCACTCAGAGTTGCCCTTTAAAGCTTGGCAAGAAATTCTCCCCAGCCCACAAGTTTCCTAATTTCGTCTCAGGACACACTGGTTCATTTGGATGCTCGACCTCCAGAAAGGCAGACAACCCTAAATGTGTCAGTCTCACCTCAGTTCACTTTGCTCCCCGTCAAGTCAGATTTGACATAAATCAAAGTAAATATATAATTAAAGCTAAACTTAAGGTCAGGTCCAAGTTCGGAAAAAACAAATCTGCATGAAATTAAAAGCAACTCTAGTAGAGTTCGAGAACTGGAATTCAGGAGTGTTCAGAGCTTTCTGAACACACCTTCTCACCTGAACCACAACCCTGGGCTCAAACCCCATTATTTCACCCTCCAACCCATCCAGGTCCTCTCTCCTCCTTCCCTTTTCCTCTTCAGGTCTGACTTGGCTTCCTGCTTCTTACTCTATGCAAACACTGCTCACTCATCCAGGTATTTTAAATGGTCTTATGGCAGGAAGGTTTCAGGAAAAATGTTATTGCACCTTTCCAGAGTCACGTTTATTCCACAAAGACTTTTCTCTGCTGTCCTGTTCCCATTTGCTGCAGCCTTTCAGTCAGTCTGGACTTTTAAATCCCTACACAAGCACCAACAGAGATATTCAGAGCACCAACTATTATGCAAGACATCAGTTCCACTCACAGTCCACTAAAATGGGGAGCTCCAGGCAGTTCCTGACTCTCCAGAGAAACCAAACACACATTTTTGGATTCCTCATATATGCAGCTGAAAGAACTGCTCAAACAGCCCCATCACAAAGGTTCTCTCTTCACCTTCTAACACCAATTTTTAGCCTGGCTTTTATGAACCTGTGCTTAAAGACAGCAATCAACAGGTACCTGTTAGTTCTCCAACAGATCATAGAATGGTTTGGGTTGGAACAGACCTTAAAGATCATCCAGTTCCCACCTTCCACTAGCCCAGGTTATTCCAAGTCCCATCCAACCTGGCCTTGGACACTTTCAGGCATGGAGCATTCAAGACCCCTCTGGGCAACCTGTGCCAGTGCTTCACAGGACTGGAAGGTTAAAAACTGACAGCAGACCCACAGCTGAGCTCCACCACCGTGCACTCACCCCTCTGGCAGCGATCGTGTGTCCAGCAGCGCTCGATGAAAATGCCGTTTATCACAGTGGGGGGACAGTTGCTCTTCCCTTTCACGGTCCCAGGACACACATCTCCACACTCCTCCTTGTCATCCTTGTTGGCCACAATGTAGTTGTCCTCTACAGAATCCAGAATCCTTGACCAGTCAATGGTGGACAGGTAACACAACTCATTGTTCTTCTCAATCCTCACGGCACCCCGGGTGATGTTCATGAGGTTGTAGAGCCCGATCTCCTTCAGGTGAACCATCTCAAAAATCACCAGGGCATAGTTAAAGAACAGGTGAGTCCCCCTGATCACAGTGAGGTTGGGGAAAAGGCCCTTTAAACTCTCCAGGCCGTACACACGGAAAAGCAGCAAGTAGTCTGTGATCATGGTCAGCTTAGGAAAGCTGAGCTCACGGAAATCCTCTGGCTTGGTTTTAAACATCAGCAATATCTGCAAGTGGCCCTCGATCACAGTGCAGTTCTCCAGCATGTTCAGCCGGGTCAGGTTGTTGCGGATGTCCATGCTCCTGCAAACTGGGAGGCAAAGGAAAACGTTATTTATTTATTTAACAGAAGCTTAATTGTTTTGAGTTTCCTAAATACACAGTTTTGTCCGACTGCACGATAACCAGGACACGTGGCCCTCTCAGCAAAGCAGGCCTCAAGTGTTAAGAAATACACTGTGGGGAACATTCCCTGGTATTATGGTTACAAAATAAGACTGAAAGAGTATTTCATCATTTTTTTTGCCATTTTGAGTGTCTGTTGCCTCTGTCACGACTCAGTGGTAACACCAGTCCTGAGACATCCCTCACGAAAGGAAGAGACATCCAAGCAACTGAGGCTGTTTTCTCTAGACAATTGCCAGCGACACACCTACCTCGTCTCAGATTGTGCAATTAATGCCAGTGGATTAGAGGGAGTAATTTAGAATAGTTGCAGGGAGGGGAAGACATGAAAAGAATAATGGCCAGAGATGGTAGTGCTTGGGAAGAGAGCAGAAAAACCTGGAAATACACACAGGCAGGAGCACAGCTCACGCTTCTGCCCAGACTTTGCTGACAGGAGTCATTTACTACATTAGTAAGTTTTGCCCTGAGCATTCTTTTCAGATGAGGTGTTGGGGCTTTTTTGCTATTATTTTCTCAAGGGTGCAAATCTCTCTGTCTTGACTACCTGGGCAGTTTATTTAGCAGAACCAGTAACCTAAAGAACTGGCAAAGTGAACAACTACATGAAGCATAAATTAGAAGGTAAACAGAACAGTAGGAATCCAGGCACCAGCAGAAGGAAAAAAAGTTTGAATAGGAAAATATTTTTGTTAACTCTAAGCACAGGTAAGAAATCAAGAAGGAAATTCAGAGCCCCACACCAGCACAGCATAACAGAACTCACAGTGACAACCCTTTTGAAATTAAACGTCACAGAAACATCAGCCAGACCTTAATATTCAAATCCAGGTGGATTCTTCGTGAATATTTCTTTTTTGAACACTGCACCCACTTAAAGGATTCTCCCTTTTGTCTAAAGCTTAGAGAGCATCTTCCCTCCCCGCTTAAGAACAAAAAGCACAGGATCTTCCGCCTTTTTGTCACTGCATTTAAAGCTCATCAACTCTAAAATCACTACACCACAGCTTCAAGAGATTACCCAGCAACAACCAGGCCTTACAAAACTAATGCAGACACAAATATTTCATTGTTAGGATTGCCTGACTCCTCCTGGTTTCACACAGCCCACTGCTGTAGGGGTTAAAACCAAATTCTATGCAAATGTCTTAATGATTATTCAAAAATTTGCTCCACCGTAATAAAAAAAAACATATTAAATTTGGCAACACTAATATGGGACTTGAAGCAATGCTCTGGCCCAATGGGACTTTTTGGCACTGTATCCAAGTCGTTTCATAAATTGCTTTCTGGAAGAAAAAGTGCCTCAAAGATTAGGGATGTACTTGAAAAAGCAGGAAAGGAAGCCCGATGAGCAGCAAGCAGCAACCTCTCTGTCCCAGACTGGAAGTAACTCCAAAGCTGTCCTGCTGCACATCCCACCCTGGGGCTAAAAGAACTGGGAGAGCAACAGATTCAGCTGAAATACTCTGAATATTTATTGCAAATAAACTGGCATTTCCAAGGAAGCAAGTGCATGACAGCACGGGGCAGTGGTTTCTTCATGAAAGAAGTAACAGAAGGACAAATAAAACTCACTGTACAAGTCACCACAACAGTAAAACTCAGATAAATTCAAAATCCAACATCTTGGTTCTTATTTATTGGTGGTTCTCATTATTGTTGAGCACACAGGCAGTGCTGAGGTGGTACCCAGGGCCAGCTGCTGTCTCACAGGATAAAGTCCTGCCTGTTGGAATGTGACCTTAAGGAAGAGGAAAGGGAAAAAAATACAGCTCAGCTCTCCAGACTAGGAATTACTTTGTAGAGTAAGAGCTGCAGGCTATTGCTGTGGCTCAAGGCCATGAGATGCAGATACACACTGAGCATAATTGCCTCAGTCTTTCATCCTTTTGCCTAGAATTAGGTAAGTCACCAGGAACTGGACACAAGCTGGCCCCAGACAAGCCCTTTGCCCACAGCCATCCCTGCTCAGCTCCATGGAAAGAGAACCCTGAGTTTGGGTGGAAAGATCTCCAGTTTGGTACAGTCAGGACCAGGCCCTCCTGGTGCTGTGGCTGCATTTCAGGCTGTAGAGATCTTCCTATCGTCCAGGAGCAGAGCTAAGGAACTTGGTCTGAAGGAGCTATTCTAGGTGGGAACTGTTGCATCACCTCAGCACCTCAGGGTGGGTGCCCAGCACTGAGGGAATTCCTGATCCTCTTTGGCAGAGGAACAGATACACACCCAGCCAGGCTTCACAGAGAGGATTATCATGGAATCACACAATGGTTTGGGTTGGAAGGAACCTTAAAGCCCATCCAGTCCCACCCCCTGCCATGGGCAGGGACACTTTCCACCAGACCAGGTTGCTTCAAGCCCTGTCCAACCTGGCCTTGGACACTTCCAGGGATCCAGGGGCAGCCACAGCTTCTCTGGGCAACCTGTGCCAGGGCCTCACCTCCCTCACAGGGAAGAATTCCTTCCCAATATCCCATCTAACTCTGTCCTCTGGCAGTGAGAAGCCATTCCCCTTGTCCTGTCCCTCCATCCCTTTTCCAAAGGTCTGCTCCCATCAAACCCCAGCCTGGTCTCTGCAGCCCTGGAGATCACAGCTCTCACCACCTTCCTAAACACTCAAAAGCAGTTAAATTACACTGTCCGTGAACCTGATTCAAATAATTCCGGGCTTCTAGAGATCACCACTAACATAAGCCATGCTGCTCCTGGTCCAAACAACCTGAAAGCTGCTCAAAGATCTGCTAACCTCCTCAAAAAATCCAACAACTTAAACATTCACACAGGACACAAACCTCCCTTGCTTCCAGCTCTCCCCATTCTGACACGGATTCCCCACTGGAGGTGGCCAAAGGCTAAGAACACCCAATATTTTGAGATGTGTGACAGAACAAAGGTTTGCTGAAGCTGAATCTAAAAAGAGACAGGTGGAGCTTTTGAAAAGTTAAAGAATCATATAAATCTACCAGAGCTGGGAGTACAACATCCACAGTCCATCAGCTGTTTGCATTTTACAACTGTTTTTGTATTTTTCACCCATTTTAAGCCCAAGACAGAATGCATTATTGGTCATGAGTGCTGCCAGCAGACTTGACAGGGGGTTCCACACATTCTAGCAAACCAGGATGTCCTCTGAGTTATCCAAACTCTGCTGCTTCCAAAGCTGAGCAGCAGCAATGGAATAATGGTCACATCCTCTGCTCCAGCACTGGGGGTTCTGCACCAGCCCTTTAGTGGAAGGATGTCAAACACTGCTGGGAGCCTGGTATGGAAACTCAGGAGGCTTTCAGAGTACATTAGAGGTTTGTTTCTGAAATAAACAACTGAATAAAAGACTAATATAGTTGTAAATCTACACAGATTAAATTTTTTTTACCATTTTTTTTCCACATTGAGATAAAAATCACAGTTAACTATTTTTCATGTTCTACTTCAGTTTAGTTTTTAAGTGGCAAGTACCACTAGAGTATCTGAGCTCCTTTTCTTTACCCCCTCAAGTAGAATAATAAGGAATTAGAACATCTGAGACAAAATATGTTTTTTGGTTGGAGGTTTCTCCATCCTTTCAGGTCTCTGAATTTGCAGCAGTTTGTATCTCCTGTTCATGCAGTAGCTGTTTAAGTCATCCCATAAATTTATTGTTACCAAGACAACAAGAAGCAGTTCAAAGCAAAGTAATAAGCATTTTTCCACAGCTTCCCTCAATAGTAGTTCTTTTGCAGGGACAGGGGAATTACTCAACCATTCATGATGAAGGCAAGGCAAGTCTGATCCCAGAAGATGGAGAGCAAAGTTGAACCATCAATTGTAGCACAGACAACCTGGTTTCAAAAAACACATAAATCTGTTTTCAGGGAACTAAAAATCACAAATTGATTCTCCAGTAGTAGGGCCCAAAGCTACTCCTATGCAAACTACTGGCAAAACCTCTACTACACATAAATTCCTGAATTTCAGCAGAACCAGAGCACAGCTGCCAGAGGAAGCACATCCTCCATCCCTGCTACCAAGCTACTCACAGGAACTTCAAAAACTGAATAAATCATTGTAGACATGTTCCATCAGCCTCTCCCCCCCAACACCAAGTTGAACACATCAAACAAACAAACAAATCCCAAGATGCTGAAACCTCTTGGACAAACTGGTTTGGTAACAACCTTCAAATCCTGAATAAAGAAACCAGATCTGATGTCAGAGGTTAAGTTTTCAAGATAGAGTCTAACCAGGGGAATAGGTGGAACTTAAACCTTGTTTATAGTAAATCATGTGGATACCAAACCTTAATGATTCACTGCTTCAGAGCTCTGGCCTTTAACAATAAAGACCAGTGTAATCTGGCACAGAAGGCTCACAAACCATTTGAGGTAACTATCAGTTAATTCTGCTTTTTTATAGTGTTTGCTGCCTACCGAATAAACAAATCACACTCGCTTTGGTCGAGCCAAAAGCTTTGCAATTCTACATAAGGTAGTGGTATTAGGAAACTGGCAAAAGGACTTTAGGGTTTTTCTTGGGATAACTGCTGAGACAGGAAAACATCCTGTTAAGTGACATGACAGTGGTAAGAACTGTAAGACAGTTCTACCTACTGCAGCAATAGTTTCATAAACATACAAACCATCTAATTATGAAATGTGAATTTTTAAGCTTCAGTTTTGCACCTCAGACATTTAGATCTGAGCAATGAGCTGGATATGGACGTCAAAGTGAGCCCCTCAGGGAACATCTCAGATGCCTGTTACCTCCCACAATTCACATTGGCACCACTGAGTTGAGGGAAAACCTCTCACGGAGGTCACCCAAAGCACAGATAAGCTCCCAGCCTGGCCTACAAAGCCTGGTTTGGGCTATCTTTATGCTCTCCTCATTCAATTCAAAACACAAGAGAAAACAGGACTCATCCTGCCCTGTTTTCCAGGCAAAGATAATCAGCAGTGAGGCGACAACATCCCAGGACCACGGAGATCACTCAGGGTAACAGCTCAAGTCAGTGTCGATGGCAACAGACCTAAAGATCCTCCTGCTTCAAAGGCAGCAGGAACAGGTTCTACACATTGCCAATATCAACATTATTTACATTCCACAAGATAGTCACCCCAAAACTGACCTCCAGAAAGCTCTGGGGTTTTACACTGCTCAGAGACAGTAAGTGCTGCCTCTCTCCAGAACAGTGAGAGGACACACTGGGACAGCACACGGACACGGCTGGTGCTGGGTTTGGTACAGCCTTGCCCTCCTGCACTCACTCTTACTATTTTACACTCCTGGGAGCACAATTTCATTCTAGACTGAGTCTCTCAACACCAAAAATTGACACAGGGTTGAGGTGGGACAAGGGGGCAGTTTCTTAATGAGTTTCCAAGCCTTCTGTGTGAGCCAGATATAATTAAGAAGCAACCTACTTTTAAGGGTAGTACTACCGCAATACCCAGTGAAATTTGTCCCACATGATGATTTAGACGGAGAGATCTCAGTTAGATTCCCAATTCCCACATCAGCAGCAGATAATGCATGTGCAGCACCCAAATTTAGGGCCCGAGTTTAGAAGGGGAGGAAGTGTACTCCAAACTCTAGAGAGTGCATTGATTAGTTTTCCACTAACCACAAAAGGAGACCAGAGCAAGTTGTTCCATTAGTAGATGCCTAAAACTAGGTGAGGTAAATCCCACCCCAAATACCACAGCTAATGAACTGATAGGCATGAGTCATGTGTGAGATTTATTTCAAGAAGCTGCATTATGTTTACACAGTGATAAAAAAATACACAAACCTGCTTTTCTTCCCAAAACAAGACGTATGGATCTTCATTTCATGCACAGGTTGGGTCTCCTTTCCTTAACCCTTGTTTCTGCTTGTGTCAGTAACTTCTGAACTCACCAACTACCTTCAGTCTCACTTAAGAGAGGAAGAGAGCTCTCACACAGAGTATTCCTAAAACACTTAGGGGATGGATTGAGGAGGGAAAACTCAGTGTCTGCATCCAAAGGATGTAAGTGTGAATGTAAACCACCCCCTCCATTTGCCTTCTGAACCACTTACACATTCTACATGCTGCTTTCCCCCAAACTGCTGCTGTCTAAAGGGGGAAGGGAAGGGAAAGACACAGGGCACAAGGAAAACTATGGATAGGGGGAATACTGTCACTAGAAAACAGCATTATCTCGGGGCCTGTCTGTGTGAGCACAGGGCTCCAACAAAGCTGCTCTCATCAGCCCGGTTGCTCAGGGAACAATTTGTTTGCTTATGCAACTCCTGTAGGTGCATTTCCCCTCTGAGCCAGGCTGGTGCCCTCTCGGTCCGGGTTGTTTTCCATCCCCACCGGAGAGCTCCATGACCTAATCATTCCCAGAAAACTGAGTCAAGCACCACAGCAGCTGAAAACCTTGTGAATTAGAGACTTGATGGTCCGAATTGTCTGCAAAATACTTTACAAAGTATTTGCACTGTATGAATAACATGAAAATATTCCAGCCCAGACTTTGCTTTAGTATCTTGTGCCCCTGTTTCTCCATCCATGAACTCAAGAACATGTAGTAATCCCACCTAGTAGTAATACAGCAAAGATTATGGAGTTAAGATCATAAACACATTTGCATCCCAAAAAGCAAATATGATTTAAATAAAGAACTAAATAACATGCTTCACTGTAGCAGTAATAATAACATTTTCAAATTAGGAACTGCTGGACTCAAGCTATATATGTATTTATTTATTATTAGTGCTATATGTTAACTGCCTTCACCCCTCTGATGGTAAGGGGCAGGTTTGCCCACACCAGTGGGACTGACCCTCCCAAGGTAACACTGAGCCACCAGCCTCCTTTAAGGCTTTGACCATAAAAACATATATGAGGAAGAAACTGGGGTATTTTTGAAATATGGAATTTGTCCTACTGCTGGAAAAAGAGGCTGTTTTATGGATAAATCCTGCTTTATTCCCTGAATACCATTCACACCCCAAAAATGTCACTGGATTGTCTATACTTGAACTGATTCTCTTGCTACCGCCTTTTCCAATGGGAATGTTAACAAGCAGATTGTCTATGGGAGAGATGATCCACAGATCCAGTCAGCTGTCTTTAAATAAATATTTCCCTTTTGTTAAAAAATCTGAAAAAATCACCCCAAATTAAAGAACCTGTAATTAAAGGGATTTCCTAAGCAAGTTTATTTAACGTAACCCACCAAAACAGCTCATAATTCTTAACCTCGAGCCAGACGTGGGTTTAACAAGCTTGTGACCTCCACCCCAACATCTTTACACCCCGTTTTTTTCTTTCTTTACAAGCCCCTGCGTAAACACAGACCATCCCCTCGGAGCATTCCCCCCTTTATACCTGGGGATTTGGCACCACTACCCAAAAGTGGTTAAAGACAAAATCTCCCCGTCTGGCCACGCTAAACCCTCCTGAAACCGGAGCCGGTTCTGAGGCGGCCGAGGAGCGGCGGGGGCAGAGGGCTGGAGAGGGGACCAGGAACGGGACCGGGGAAGGGGATTGGGGACAGACCCGAGAAGGGACCGGGGAGGGGGACCAGGGAGGAGGGAACCGGGGAGGGGGCCCGGGGAAAGCGATTGGGGTGGGGGACCAGGGAGCGGGGACCACGGAGGGGAGACCAGGGGAAGGGTTCGGGGAGAGGACCAGAGAGGGGAGCCAGGGAAGGGGGCTGGGGTGGGGGATCAAGGAGGGGGGACCCGAGGAGGGAACCGGGGAAGAGGCTCAGAGGAAGAGAACCAGGGCCAAGGAATCAGGGGAAGGAGCCCGGGGAATGAACCTGAGGAGGGGGCCGTGCCCTCCCCCGCGCCTGCCTCGGGCGCGGCCCCCGGTGACCCCCCGGCCCCATAGCGGGGGCCCGCGGGCCGGGACGCGCCGTCCGCTCGTCGCCGCAGCCCTTCCCGGTGCCGTGCTCCCTTCGATCCCAGCAGCCGCCAGGCCCTCCCGAACCGGGGGGTGAAGGTGACCCGGGAGCGCTCCGGGGCCGGGGCCGCGGCCGCGCTGCCCGCGGGCCCCACGCAGGTACAAAGGGCACGGCGGGGCCCGCTCTGCCGCCGGCGCCCCCTCCTCTTCCCTTCCCTTCCCTTCTCCCAGCCCCGACTCACTCTCTCCGCGGCCTCGGCCGCACCAGGCTCCCAGCACCACGGCCACGGCCAGCGCCGCCGCCGCCGCCGCTCTCGCTCCCATCCCCGCGCCGCCGCCGCCGCCGCCGCCCGGCGCGAATCAGAGCCCGCGGGGCGGGCGCGGGGGCCGGGCCCGGCCGAGCATCGCCGGTGGGAGCCTCGCGGAGCCCCCCCTTTATAGCGGCCGGCCCCTCCCTGCCCGTGCTGTCGGCCCCGGCCCGGCGGCCCCTTTCAGCGCAGGCCGGGCTGGCGGCGGCGCCCCGGCCAGTAAACAAGGGGCTGCCCCCGTCAGCTGGGAGCGGAGCGGGGCGGCGGCAAGAGGCGGCGCGGAGCCGGCGGGGACGGGACGGGACGGCCGGGGGAGGAGCGGCAGCAGCAGCAGCACCATCAATCCATCATCCATCCCTCCCTTCGTCCCTCCATCATCTATCCATCCCTCCCTCAATCCATCCACCTGCAATCCCCGGCCGTCTGTGAGACCCGCTGATGGGGAGCCGCTGTAGCCCCGGTAGCGTTTGAGAGAGTAAAACGGGGCGGTTTAGCAGCAGCATCGTGTCCTGGGTTCGAATGGAAAGAGAGGAGGTTGGGGTTGGATGTTTGGGAAAAATTGTTTCCTGGGAGGGTGGTGAGGTCCTGGCACAGGTTTTACCCGAGCAGCTGTGGCTGCCCCGTCCCTGGAAGTGTCCAAGGCCAGGCTGGACGGGATAGTGGAAGGTGTCCTTGCCCATGGCAGGGGGTGGAATGAGATGAGCTTTAAGGTCCCTTCCACCCTAAACCATTCTATGATTGTATGATCCTATCTTGCTGCCCCTGGCTGTGCCCGTGTCCCTCCTCCTCCTCCCATAAGGCATTTGGAGAGGATGAATTGCCCCCAGACCTCCCTGGACAGAGCTTGGGGTGAGGGCACTGCCCATTCACCAGCACAGAGCCCAAAGACCACTGCAGATTTCTGGTTCTTTTTCCTCTGGGATTCACCATTTGGTGCCTTTTTTAATCATCTCTGCGATGCGCTCACGCTAAGCCATGACAGTACGTTTCCTGGCAACTTCCAGTAATTTTATCTGGCTCTTGCTTTCAGCCATTTCTGCAAGACAAATGAGTTATAAACTGTTGGAATAAAGGTTTTTTAAAATTCAAATATGCTTGGTAAATAGACATGTTTCTTTAAAATCTTTCCCTCCCCATCTTCAGCTTACAGCAGATCTCACTTTGCTCACTCAATGGCCTTGGGCAGGCCAGCAGTGACCAGCAGGTCACTGTGCCTCAGCTCCTGTGTCTGGACATTGAATTGCACTATGGGTTTACACCCTTTAAATAATTGGTGTTACTTCTCCACATAAAGAATCATTGCAGTCGTCACAGGGCTGTGACAGAGCGGAAGGAGGTCATTGAAATCAGGGCAAGGCTAAGGGCCTGCTCTGACCAGCATAAGCAAGATTAGCTAGGGTAGTACCTGTGTGACAATAACTCCATCTTGCCATTCGCAGACTATTTAAATCCTGAGATGAAAGGCTCTGCCTAAGTGGGGATGCTTTCTCTGTGATCAGCACAGCAGATGCGTGTCTGCACAGCACACGAGCTGTTGATTCAGCCCTTTTGTGTGTCAGAACCGCCATCATGGGAAGGCATTTCCCCCATTTCTGTCCATTTTTCCAAATCCACACTGCTGCCTTGAGCTCACAAGTGCAGAGGGACTGGGAACATCACTCATCCTGGAATACTTCAGGAAGTAAGGGCAGTTAAGGAATGGAAATAAACAACAAAAGTATGCCTTCTCTGCTTGCAAATTAACCTGCTTTATGACTGTAGGCTTTGCATAAAACAGACAGAGCCAAACATCACCTAGACAGCTCGGGCTGTGTGGAATTTATACTCTGACTCTAATAGCAATCTCTTCCTGCTTACTCACTTATGTTCTTATTGCCTTTGATGTAATAATGATATCAGCTTACACATTGGCACAGGAGGATTAACGGCTACAGATTTATTATCTTTTCTTAAAATACTATTTTTAGTTTCTAATTACTGATTAAGAACATCGGGTTGCAATCTTTCCAGCATCTTTCCCATACACTCACTGCTACATATTCATCACGCTACAGCACACTTGGTTTGCAATCAGATAAACCAACAGGAGCAATGTGGGTGCAGAGAAACTAAGCCAACACCTGCTTACTCTTTTTTTTTTTTTCCTAATAGCTGCAATGCAGGCTCTTCTCTCATTTCTGATTCAAGAAACTACTAAAAATCAGTAGTTTGGTATATTAAATATTGACAACAGTCACATTTCTTTCTCTCCTCAGTGGTTAAGTGTCTGCTATGAACTGTGATACTTACAACCCATGGGGGTTCAGTTCTACATCCTCCTAATAAAATAAATACAGAGAGACTTGCAATAGAGTGTATCCACCTACCTGAACTGACAGAGACTTATTTATTTTGGTTTGTTTCATTCCTTATTTACATCACAGAATGGTTTGGGTGGGAAGGAACCTTAAAGCCCATCCAGTCCCACCCCCTGCCATAGGCAGAGACACCTTCTACCTTCCAATCCAGGTTGCTCCAAGACTCATCCAACCTGGCCTTGGACACTTCCAGGGACAGGGCAGCCACAGCTTTTCTGGGTAACCTGTGCCAGGGACTCATCACCCTTGCAGGGAAGAGTTTCTTCCCAATATCCCATCTAACCCTGCCCTCTGTCAGTGGGAAGCCATTCCCCCTTGTCCAAAGCCCTACTGCTCTGCCCTAAAGATGCTTCCACATCAAACCAACCCAAGGGTACCAACTTCCTAACAGATCCCAGCCCCTCCAGATCAATGCTACCAGGAACTGAAGTCCTTGGAAGCCCACCCCTGGCAGCCACATCCCTGGAGCAGGAACCCCCTTTGCAGGAATGAAAAGGGAAAGTGACTTTGTAAACCAGCTTGATGTTCCAGCAGTGACATCCTTACACTGACACAAGTGGACATGGAGAGAACATGGCTCAGCTTCCCTATCACCAGCATTTGCTGAAAGCTTCACACCTTGAAAACTGAACATATCTTTCTCTCTGTACACTGTAACCAAGCACACGTGGGTGGTTTTAGTCATACAAAATAAAGTTCCTTGCTAATTAATCAGTCAAGGAATAGTTAAGGAACACAAACTTTGTGCCCAAAAGGAGCTTTAGAGCAGTTGACTCACCAAGAAGTTACGTTGGTACCAGTTCTGTTTAAAGAACAAAACAGCTGAAAACCAGTTCAAGAGCCAAAGCCACACAG